CCTTTATTGAGGCAGGGAAAGATAAAATCCCAATATTTGGGATGCTCCCATCACAATTCCAATCTTTGGGATGCTCCAAACCCTTTATGAAAGAAGGCAAAGATGCAATCTCAACATTTGGGATGCTCCAAATCCTTCCTCGAGGCACAGAAAGATACAACCCAAATATTTGGGATGCTCCCATCACAACCCCAATCTTTGGGATGCTCCAAACCCCGAGTGCAAAGAGCTGAAGGATCTCAGGGCAGCAGCGACTGGAAAAATGTGACAGCAGCTCGTGCCAGCCCTGGGCTGTGACACTGCCACTCTCAACCCTCCCGTGCCACATTTTTCAAGCCTCTCTTGCAGCTGCTTTTCAAGCCTGCAAAACCCTTTAAACCCTGCAAAACCCTGCAAAACCCTGCCAAACCCTTTAAACCCTGCCAAACCCTTTAAACCCCGTGTAAGCCGAGCTTTGCAGAGCTCAGCCTTGAGCTCAGGACCCCTCCCCCGAGCAGAATCTCCGCGGTGCCTTTTGCAGGCTGAGCTCAAAACCTGCCCCAGACACATCCTCAGCACCCCAGAGCCAGCCTGGGCTGCAGGTGTGAGCTTGAGAAGAGATTTTTTGGGGTGCAAAAAAACTTCTCTGGGGGCACCCTTGCAGTTCTCAGCTGTGCACCCAACCCAGCAGGGCCCTGCAGGTGAGCAGAGATCGTTGCTCAGCATCTCTTTTTTTTTGTTTTGTTTTGTTTTATTTTTTTTATTTTTTTTTTTATTTTTTTCCCGCTCGATTTTCACTGTGCAGGAAGTAAAGAAACGCTTTTGAACGCTCTGAATGCGTTTGGCAGGTCAAAATAAATTTGTGGGGCTCATCAGGCTGAGAGAGGATTTGTGGGGGAACCCTTCTGAAATCTGGGGGGGGGCAAACCCAGCCTTGTGTTTGAAGCTTTTATTTCTTGCCACCCTCCTGGGTGTGCAGGCCCTGAGGGCTCTCCTGGCTCCCATCAGGGCAGGATTTTGGGGGTTAGAGCTGCAAAAATTGGGAATTTGGGGTGTCTTGCAGCATTTCCCAACCCCTGTTTCACAAGAGAGCTCTATGAGGCTCAGGCCAAATGCACAGTCCTTGTTTATAATTTATTACTTAGGACATAATTTATCACTTGGGATATCATTCATCACTTATTTCCAGTTTATTAATTAGGATAATATTCAATCTCAAGCAGTGGATCCCTGAAAAAGAGGAATTTTTTTTTTCCCTGGATGGAAAATGGAGTTCCTGAGCCAAGCAGGGCTTTCCCAGGGCACATTTTTGTTCCCTGCTTTGGTCACTTGGATGTGTCCCCATCCTTCAGCCAGATCCCAATCCCTGTCCTGAACCAATTCCAGCACCTGGCATCACTTCCCAACAGCCTGGCAGGGAACTGAGCAGGGAAAAAAAAAAAAAAAAAAAAAAAAGAAAGCAAATTTCAATATCTGAGGTTACTTCGAGTCTCTCCCACACAGAGACTGAGGCGGGATGGATTCCCTGGAGGAAAATTGTGGGATTTGCTCTGCAAAGCCCGCGGGTTTGTGCCTCTGGAAGGGCAGGCAGCTCTTCCCCCTTCATCTGCTGATACCTGGGGACAGGGACAGGGACAGGGACAGGGACAGGGACAGGG